TTTTTTTTTTTTTTTTGCATTCTATAATAGTCAAGCAGACGCGACTGCTAATTATTTTTGATTAGTGCGCTGAAACAAATCGCAGAATGTTTTCAATATTATATAATGCAACTAGAGTAGAGTCATCGATGATGAAATGTTCTTAACACTCTCCTCAATCTACGGTCAGTTGATTCAATTATCGGTTATATTTGTCAAAGAACTCTTAGAAAAATCTTTTCAGTGCTCTTCAAAGGCTGCTTGAATATAAAACAAAACAAAATGTAATCAAAATGGGGTTCTAATCATGCCCGCAGCCCAACCGGAAATCTGAACAGACCGGGCCTGAGAATGCGATTCAAATTATGTCAGCATCGTTATTATTTTTCTTTTTTGAACATGCATTGAAGTTAATTACGTTTAGTCACGCATATTTGATTGGTTTTCAAGTGCTGCAGAGCCGCACAGCATTTGGCCCAAGGCTGGCCCACGCCCACCTCGCACAGCGTAGAGCTTTGCTCCAAAATTTTTATTATAATTAGCCGGTGAGAGAAAAATAAATTGAATTTTGCACCTGACGTGAAACGGACTGTAAAATATTATATGATAGTTGGCGGCAGGAGCCACAACCAGTTGGCCAATGGCCTTTGGTCATTGGCCTAAGCCTGGGCCAGGGCTTGGGTCCGAGCCTGAGACTGGGGCTAAACAACCTTCTGTCTCAGCCTTCTGTAACTGCATTGCATAAAGTAATTAAACTGACATTGAAACTTAGAAGAACATAGAACGCTTCCTGCTTCTGGCTAAACTTCTGGCCAATGCTACCAGCTACCAGCTACCAACTACCAACTACCAACTGCCAACTGCCAACCGGCAGACAGGCGAACGAAGACGATGACATTGAGTAATCAGAGTTAGCAATTGCTGGAGTTGCGGCAGCAAAACATGGAATGCTGCCATATCAGTTTGTCTCTGTGTTTGTGTGTGTGTGAGAGAGAGGGAGAGAAATAGAAAGAGGGAGAGAGAGCCTTGGTGGGGAGGGAATACCAGTTTTAGAGTGATGATCCTCTTAATTTATAAGCTAAAAACTAGTAATTATAACTGCGCAACTTGCTCGACTGCTCATAATTATAAGGCACTCCACTCAAACACACACACACACATACACATGTGTGTGTGTGTGTGAGTACATCTCACTCCCTGTTCGCGTCCTTGTCTTTGGCTTTTGCCAACTTTTGTACTTATGTCATATTAGCTATAAATGTACAACATCTCTTATCCACAAGCCCAATGATTAATGGCCCACTGTTAACCGTAGAGATCATCCATCGTGCTGTTTTCCATTTGTATCTATCTAGCCCTTAGACTCGCATCGTTTGCCAGTTGCCGCTTCATTGGCTCCGGGGCACTGCGATTGAATTTGCATTGCGGTGCGATCTATTGGAGCGGAAAGTTCCAATGTGATGCTTCCGCATGAGCTGGCCATAGATACGTCCCATTAAAAGATAAAAACTAAAGCTTAACAGAGGGGAATCGGAACAAAAAAAAAAAAAAAAAAAAAAAAAAAAAAAAAAAAAAAAAAAAAAAAAAAAAAAAAAAAAAAAAAAAAAAAAAAAAAAAAAAAATTTTGAAATAATTAATTAAAAAAAAAAATATTTAAATCCCAGCTGGAAAATCAATAAGTCTGATTCAGCCTAGGAAGTATAATAATATATTAAAATATATATGCATATAAAAGTGTTGTAAAATGTATATAACACTATTGTAAGTGCTGTGAAACAAAAGTCTAATACGACTATTTCTAAAAGTTCTTTTGAAAAGTTCTATAAAATGGCAAAATTTCAGCTGCTAATAGGACCGGAATCTCAAAATGTGTTAATTAAACAAAGATTCATTCATATATACAAAAATCAGAATCATCAATCGTCATTCGTTGGCCAATGACCCAGCGGTTGGCTTGGCGATTTAATTGGTGCGCTAAATGTATGCAACTGGTGCATCCTGTGCGCATTGACATTGCTGCTTGGTTTGGCTTAGCTCCACATGCATAGATTAATGCGGATGGCACTGAAATGCCATGCGTAACATGCAAATTTGAAATGCCAAAGCCATTTGATGTGGGGCTGCGCAGTCAGGCGGCAAATGCGTAGAGCGATTTCAAGTTCGTTGCTTAAGTCTTTCGTGTGGCTGGGCGGGCATTTCATTAATCATGCGCCTCCACTCATATGATTGGTTTTCTTTTTGTTTTGCCTTTGCAGACATTGACGAATGCCAAGATCCGGCGATAGCATCGCGTTGCGTGGAGAATGCCGAGTGCTGTAATCTGCCGGCGCACTTCCTCTGCAAGTGCAAGGAAGGCTACACGGGCGATGGCGAGGTGCTGTGCACGGACATCGACGAGTGCAGCAATCCGCTGGCCTGCGGTGCCCACGCCCAGTGCATCAACACGCCCGGCAACCACACGTGCGTCTGCCCCGAGGGCTACGTGGGCAATCCCTATGACGGCTGCCAGGATCTCGATGAGTGCACATATCCGAATGTGTGCGGACCCGGTGCCATCTGTACGAATCTCGAGGGCAGTTATCGCTGCGACTGCCCGCCGGGATACGATGGCGACGGACGTGCCGCACAGGGCTGCGTCGATCTGGACGAGTGCGCGCGCACTCCCTGCGGCCGCAACGCGGATTGCCTCAACACCGATGGCAGCTTCCGCTGCCTCTGCCCCGATGGCTTCAGCGGTGATCCCATGCATGGCTGCGAGGGTGAGTACCAGCGAAACATTTATGCGTTTTACTTTAGGAATTTATACTCATTTTTCGATATATTTGCCATCATTATTTTTGGTATATTTCTGCACATGTTTTTTGGCGAAATTCGCACACACACACACACGCGCATACACATACACACACATGCCACTTGCCACATCAATGCACCGCAATTCGAAACAATAATACGATTAATGCCTAACACGAATAAACAACGCCAGCAGATGTCGATGAATGCGCCATTAACAATCCATGCGGTTTGGGTGCTCAATGCGTGAACTTGGGCGGTAGCTTTCAATGTCGTTGTCCACTGGGCTTTGTGCTTGAGCATGATATGCACGCGGAGGCGCCACTGCCGGCCACACCCACACTACAACTGGGCTATGCCGATGGCGATACACTGGCCCAGCCGGCGCCCACGTCGGGCGCCGGCCTGGCCTGCCTGGACATCGATGAATGCAATCAGCCGGATGGCGTGGCCAAGTGCGGCACCAATGCCAAGTGCATTAACTTTCCGGGCTCCTATCGCTGCCTCTGTCCGAGCGGATTCCAAGGACAGGGCTATCTGCACTGCGAGAGTTAGTATTTGCTTAATTTGCATGCTTTGGCACAGAAGCCGTTTCACGGCTTAGAGATGGGCGCGTCACGAGACGCGATGCAGAGACACACGAAACGGGCTTAATTTATTTCGATCAAAATTTACAATAAATATTCCAAGTTTCTCTTAAATGCGTGTCCCAAGACGCGATTCAGTTACTTTTCAAAATTAACAACATTTTGGCTTCATTTGAGTTTCGATCCGTGTTTGTATTTAGTCACGCGCTCATCTCTAGTTTAGATTGTAAATGAGCGTAAAAGCTTAGCTTTGGATTTGCATGGCGAATCAAGGATCAAGAGCTCTGCATGAATTTTATGAGCTACGCTTTTACACTCTCTTCGCTCTCTTTGCTCTTTGCTCTCTGCTTCTTCTTGCTATACGCTTTCAGATGCTTCTCTGTAAGTTTTGAGAGCTTTTCAGCTGCGCTTTTCTTTCGATTTCCCGCTTCTTTTGCTATTCAGCCAGCTTCTATCAGTATTCTCTTTTCCCCCCCTCCCCAAATCCTACAAAGCTCCCCCACTTTCACGCTATAATTTCACAACTTCCATAGACTTGTATGACCTGAGATATGATTACTAATTTAATTAATTGCAATATATTTAACCCACTTCCCCCTCAACTCGAACCCGAAAACGAAAACGCTACAAAACACGTTGCCTGCTACCCCTAAAAATATATACAAATATATACGCAAACGAACCCCTCCACCCCCTGCACGATCAATGCGATCAGACATCAACGAGTGCCAGGATAATCCGTGCGGTGAGAACGCCGTCTGCACAGACACCATCGGCAGCTTCGTTTGCACGTGCAAACCGGACTACACCGGTGATCCGTTCCGCGGCTGCGTCGACATCGATGAGTGCGCCGCACTGGACAAGCCGTGCGGCCAGCACGCGATCTGCGAGAACGCCGTGCCGGGCTACAATTGCAAGTGCCCGCAGGGCTACGACGGCAAACCCGATCCGAAAGTGGCCTGCGAACAGGTCGACGTGAACATTTTGTGCCGCACCAACTTCGACTGCACCAACAATGCCGAGTGCATAGAGAATCAGTGCTTCTGCTTGGACGGATTCGAGCCGATTGGCTCCAGCTGCGTGGACATCGACGAGTGCCGGACGCACGCCGAGGCCTGTGGCCCGCATGCCCAGTGCTTGAATACGCCGGGATCGTATCGATGCGACTGCGAGGCCGGATACGTGGGCAGCCCGCCGCGCATGGCATGCAAGCAGCCCTGCGAGGATGTACGCTGCGGGGCGCATGCCTACTGCAAGCCGGATCAGAATGAGGCGTATTGCGTCTGCGAGGAGGGCTGGACGTATAATCCGAGTGATGTGGCAGCCGGATGCGTGGATATCGATGAATGTGATTTGTTGCACGGACCCTTCGGCAGCTGTGGACAGAATGCCACCTGCACGAACTCACCTGGCGGCTACAGCTGCGCCTGTCCGCCGGGCTTCTCGGGTGATCCGCACACCAAGTGCCAGGACGTGGATGAGTGCCGAGCGGGAAATAAATGTGGCATAGGCGCTGAGTGCGTCAACATGGCAGGAGGCGGCTACACCTGCCGCTGCCCCGATGGCACCCTGCCCGATCCGGATCCCGCGGTGCACTGTGCGCCCATCGTCAGCTGCTCCAGCAACGAGCAGTGCCCCGGCAATGCCATCTGCGATGAGACCAAGCGCTGCCTCTGCCCAGAGCCAAATATCGGCAACGATTGCCGGCATCCGTGCGAGGCGCGCGACTGCGGTGCCCATGCCCAGTGCATGCTGGCCAATGGGCAGGCGCAGTGCCTCTGCGCGCCCGGCTACACGGGCAACGCTGCACTGCCAGGAGGCTGCAGTGACATCGACGAGTGCCGCGCCAATCCCTGCGCAGCCAATGCCATCTGCACCAACACTGCCGGCGGCTATCTGTGCCAATGCCCCGGAGGCTCCACGGGAGACGCCTATACCGAGGGCTGTGCCACGCCCAAGATTGTCGGCTGCTCCGATGCCAATCCGTGTGCGCCGGGAGAAAGCTGTGTTCAGGACGCGTTTACAGGCAGCAGTGTTTGCATTTGTCGCCAGGGCTACGAGCGCAACCCGGAGAATGGCCAGTGTCAGGATGTGGACGAGTGTGCCGCACAGCGTGCGAAGCCCGCATGCGGCCTGAATGCCTTGTGTAAGAATCTGCCCGGCAGCTACGAGTGCCGCTGCCCGCAGGGACACACCGGAAATCCGTTTGTCATGTGCGAGATCTGCAGCAGCCCCGAGTGCCAGTGCCAAGCGCCGTACAAGCTGCTCGGCAACAGCTGCGTGCTGGCCGGCTGCTCCACCGGGCAGCCCTGCCCCAGCGGGGCGGAGTGCATCTCGATAGCGGGCGGTGTCAGCTACTGCGCCTGCCCCAAGGGCTACCAGACGCAGCCGGACGGCAGCTGTGTGGATGTCAACGAGTGCGAGGAGCGTGGCGCCCAGCTGTGCGCCTACGGAGCTCTGTGCGTCAATCAGAACGGCGGCTACAGCTGCCACTGCCCCGAGGGCTACCAGGGCGATGCCTACAACGGACTCTGTGCGCCGGCCCAGCGCAAGTGCGCCGCGGACAAGGAGTGCGCCAGCAACGAGAAGTGCATACAGCCGGGCGAGTGCGTCTGCCCGCCGCCCTACTTCCTGGATCCGCAGGACAACAATAAGTGCAAGAGTCCCTGCGAGCGCTTCCCGTGCGGCATCAATGCCAAGTGCACGCCCTCCGATCCGCCGCAGTGCATGTGCGAGGTGGGCTTCAAGGGCGATCCGCTGCTCGGGTGCACAGATGAGGATGAGTGCGCCCACCTGCCGTGCGCCTACGGCGCCTACTGTGTCAACAAGAAGGGGGGCTACCAGTGCGTCTGCCCCAAGGGCTTCACCGGGGATCCGTACAAGAGCGGCTGCATCCTAGAGGACAGCAGCGTGCCCAGGAGCTCCTGTCTGAGCAACGAGGACTGTGCCAGCAACCTGGCCTGCCTGGATGGCATCTGCGCCAGTCCCTGCGCCAGTCTGCTGTGCGGCTCGAATGCCTACTGCGAGACGGAGCAGCACGCGGGCTGGTGTCGGTGCCGCGTGGGATTCGTGAAGAACGCCGACGGCGACTGTGTGTCGCAGTGTCAGGATGTCATCTGCGGCGAGGGAGCGCTCTGCATACCCACCAGCGAGGGACCCACCTGCAAGTGCCCGCAGGGCTACCTGGGTAATCCGTTCCCGGGCGGCAGCTGCAGCACGGATCAGTGCTCGGCCTCCAGGCCCTGCGATGAGCGACAGATTTGCATCAACGGACGCTGCAAGGAACGCTGCGACGGCGTCGTCTGTGGCATCGGTGCCACCTGCGACAAGACCAACGGCAAATGCGTCTGCGAACCGAACTTTGTGGGCAACCCCGACCTGCTCTGCATGCCGCCCATTGAGGAAGCCAAATGCTCGCCGCTTTGCGGGGAGAATGCTCACTGCGAATACGGAATAGGCCAGAGCCGCTGCGCCTGCAACCCTGGAACCTACGGTAATCCGTACGAGGGCTGCGGCGCCCAGAAGAAGAACGTCTGCCAGCCGAACAGCTGTGGACCCAACGCCGAGTGCCGCGCTGCCGGCAACCAGATCAGCTGCATCTGCCCGCAGGGCTTCAGCGGCAATCCGTACGTGGGCTGCCAGGACATAGACGAGTGCGTGAACAAACCGTGCGGCCTGAATGCCGCCTGCCTGAACACGGCCGGAGGCTTTGAGTGCCTGTGTCTGTCCGGCCATGCCGGCAACCCGTACAGCAGCTGCCAGCCCATCGAGAGCCAATTCTGCCAGGACGCCGGCCAGTGCCAGTGCAGCGAACGAGTCGAGTGCCCCGACGGCTACAGCTGTGAGAAGGGCCGCTGCAAGAACCTTTGCTCGAATACGGCGTGTGGACCACGCGCCATTTGCGATGCGGGCAAATGCCTCTGCCCGCTGGGCTACGTGGGAGATGCGTACGACCTGAGCCAGGGCTGCAGCATACGCGGGCAGTGCGGCAACGACGCCGACTGCCGCCACACGGAGATCTGCTTCCAGCTGGGCAAGGGCCTGCGCAAGTGCGTCGATGCCTGCACGAAGATCCAGTGCGGCCCGAACGCGCTCTGTGTGGCCGACGACCATCGGTCGCTGTGCATCTGTGCCGATGGCTACTTTGGCAATCCGAGCAATCTGCAGGTGGGCTGCCAGCCCGAGCGGAAGGTGCCCGACACCGAGAGCAAGTGCACCACGGACAAGGACTGCAAACGGGGCTTTGGCTGCCAGGCGGACGCGCTGGGCACACGGGAATGCATTCACCTCTGCTCCAACGTTGTGTGCGGCCCGAACGAGCTCTGCAAGATCAATCCAGCCGGCCATGCCGTTTGCAACTGCGCCGAAAGCTACGTCTGGAATCCCGTTGTCTCCTCCTGCGAGAAGCCCTCACTGCCCGACTGTACCAGCGATGAGAACTGCCCGGACGCTTCCGCCTGTCGACCCGACGTGCTCGGAGTGCTCAAGTGCGTGGCCATTTGCGACGCCTTCACCTGCCCGGCCAACTCGGTGTGCGTTGCCCGCCACCATCAAGGACGCTGCGACTGCCTCAGTGGATTTGTGGGCAATCCCAATGACCGCAACGGCTGCCAATTGGAGCGCAAGCATCAGTGCCGCAGCAATGCCGAGTGCCCCGAGTCGGAGGCTTGCATCAAGGATGAGAGCACGCTGTCGCTGAGCTGCCGCCCGGCCTGCGACAGCGTCAAGTGCGGCCCGCGTGCCGTGTGCATTACGAACAATCATCAGGCGCAATGCCAGTGTCCTCCGGGACCATATGCCGGGGACCCGTACGATCCGTTCAACGGCTGCAAGAGCGTGCCCTGCGTCTACAATCACGACTGCCCCAGCAATCAGATGTGCAATCGCATGACCCACACCTGCTACGATGTCTGCGACGAGGAGTCCTGCGGAGAGAACGCCATTTGCCTGGCCGAGGATCATCGTGCCGTCTGCCAGTGCCCGCCCGGCTACCGCGGCAATCCCCTGCCCGAGGTGGCCTGCGTCAAGCAAAGCGGCTGCGCGCCGGGCACCTGCCATCCGACGGCCATCTGTGAGGTCACGCCCGATGGCGCCACCTGCAAGTGCCCGCCCCTGTTTGTGGGCGAGGCCGAGCCAAACACCCGTGGCTGCCGTCCCGATGGCCAGTGCCCCAATGGCGATGCCGACTGCCCCGCGAACACCATCTGCGCCGGCGGACGCTGCCTGAATCCCTGCGACAATGCCTGCGGATCGAATGCGGACTGTAAGGTGGTCAATCGCAAGCCCGTCTGCAGCTGCCCCTTGCGCTTCCAGCCCATCGGCGACTCGGCCAAGAATGGATGCGCACGCAGCGCCTCCAAGTGCCAGACGGACGTCGATTGCGGCGGAGAGCTGTGCTACAATGGCCAGTGCCGCGTGGCATGCCGCAACGGCCAAGACTGCTCCGAGGGCGAGCGCTGCGTGGGCAATGTCTGCGTGGTGGCCTGCCTGGATCACAGCCAGTGCTCGAAGGGATTGGCCTGCATTGAGGGCCACTGCGCCATCGGCTGTCGCAGCAACAAGGAGTGCAAGCAGGAGCAGTCCTGCATCAGCAACAAGTGCGCCGATCCCTGCCAATCGACAACGAGCTGCGGCCCCAACGCCCTCTGCAGCATTGCCCAGCATCGCAGCCAGTGCAGCTGCCCGGATGGCTTCGAGGGCAACCCAACGCCCGAGCAGGGCTGCGTGCGCGTGCCAGCCCCCTGCCTCGCCAGCAACCAGTGCCCCAGCGGACACATGTGCATCGGCAACCAGTGCAACCTGCCCTGCACCAAGACAGCCGCCTGCGCGGTGGGCGAGCGCTGCTACCAGCAGGTCTGCCGCAAGGTCTGCTACTCGAGCAACAACTGCCTGGCCGGCGAGATTTGCAACAGCGATCGCACCTGCCAGCCGGGCTGCGAGTCGGACGCGGATTGCCCAGCCACCGAGCTGTGCTTGAATGGCAAGTGCAAGTGCGCCAATGGATTCATCGGCACGCCCTTCGGCTGCTCGGACATCAACGAGTGCACGGAGCAGCCGTGCCACGCGAGTGCCAAGTGCGAGAATTTGCCCGGCTCCTATCGATGCATCTGCCCCGAGGGCACCGTCGGCGATGGCTACACGCAGCAGGGCTGCGTCAAGCCCAGGGAGTGCAACAGGCACGAGGATTGTGCGAATAGTCTCGCCTGCATTCACGGCAAGTGTACGGATCCCTGTCTGCATACCGTCTGTGGCGCGAATGCGCTCTGCCAGGCCGATGGCCATGAGGCCACCTGCAGCTGCCCGGCTGGTTACCTGGGCGATCCCAATGACCCTGGCGTCGGCTGCTTCAAGGTGGAGTGCATTGATCACGTGGACTGCGCCAGCGACCGCGCCTGCGATCCGGAGACGAACCGTTGCATCAAACCCTGCGACCTCACCAGCTGCGGCAAAGGCAGCTGCCAGGTGTCGGATCATAGGGCCATATGCGAGTGCTACGAGGGCTATCAGCTGACCAATGGCGTCTGTGTGGATCTCAACGAGTGCATGCAGCAGCCCTGCCACAGCACCGCCTTCTGCGACAATCTGCCCGGCAGCTACCAGTGCAAGTGCCCCGAGGGACTCATCGGGGATCCGCTGCAGGCGGGCTGCCGCGATCCCAGCGAATGCCTCAGCGATGCCGACTGCCCGCCCACGGCCAGCTGCCAGAATTCGCGCTGCCGCAGTCCGTGCGAGCGCGAAAATGCTTGCGGCCGGAATGCCGACTGCCTGGCCCAGTCGCACAAGGCCATCTGCAACTGTCCAGCCAACTCCCGGGGCGATCCGCAAGTGGAGTGCGTGCACATCGAGTGCGAGGATAACGGAGACTGTGGAGCTGACAAGGCCTGCCTCGATGCCAAGTGCATTGATCCCTGCTCGCTGCCGAATGCCTGCGGCGCTCTGGCACGTTGCTCAGTCCAGAACCACATCGGACTCTGCGCCTGCGAGTCGGGCAGCACCGGAGACGCCAAACAGGGCTGTGTCCAACTGCAGTACTGCCAGCAGGACGCGCAGTGCCCGCAGGGCAGCATCTGTGCCCACGGCATCTGCAGTCCGCTGTGCAGCAGCAATCGCGACTGCATTGCGGAGCAGCTGTGCCTGCAGGGCGTCTGCCAGAGCACCTGCAAGTCGAACTCCACGTGCCCCCAGTTCCAGTTCTGCCAGAACAACATCTGCGCCAAGGAGCTCGAGTGCAGCACCAACAGCGACTGCGGCGAGGACGAAACCTGCCTGGTGGATGCCTACGGACGTGCGCGCTGCGAGCCCGTTTGCCTGGGCCGCGCCGCCTGCGGACGGAACGCCGAGTGCATTGCGCGCTCCCACGCCCCCGACTGCGTCTGCAAGGAGGGCTTCATCGGAGACGCTCGGTCGGGCTGCCGCAAGATCGAGTGCACCACCGACGACGACTGCTCCAACGACAAGAGCTGCGACAACAACATGTGCAAGATTGCCTGCCTGATCGGGCAGCCGTGCGGCGAGAACGCCCTCTGCACCACGGAGAATCATCGTCAGGTCTGCCACTGCCAGCCCGGCTTCAGTGGCGATCCGCGCGTGCGCTGCGACGTCATCGACTTCTGCAAGGACGCGCCGTGCGGACCCGGCGCACGTTGCCGCAACTCGCGTGGCTCCTACAAATGCACCTGTCCGCTCGGTCTCATCGGTGATCCCTACAACGAGGGCTGCCGTAGCTCTGTCGAGTGCGACTCGCACGACGACTGTCCCCCGCATGCTGCATGTGTCAAGACCAATGGTGTGCCCAAATGTCAGGATGTGTGCGCCCAGCTGCAATGTGGCCCCAACGCGGAATGTGTTCCGAAGGGTCACGTGGCGCACTGTGCATGCCGCAATGGCTACGACGGCCAACCCGCCGACCGGGTGGCCGGCTGCAAGCCACTGCCAATGCCCTGCCAAATCACTAGCGACTGCCCCACCAACACCTACTGCTCAGATAGCGTATGTAAACGTAAGTACTAACACCAAACACTAAACCACCCGGCCCCAGCCCCAGCCCCGCTTCGAGGCCAAGGCCAAGGTCAAGCACCAAGGTATAGCACTAGTCTAAAACCGACTACTACTACTACTACTACTACTAGACAACTACCAGCTAGCCTAATTCGCTACACACTCACACAATTGGCACGAATATTAGTGTGGATTAGTGGTGCCTAATCCAGAGCCCCATGCCACAGTAATTACTAGACCTAGCTCAATCTATAACTATGGACTGGCTTGGAATCCAGTAGCAAGCACTAACTGTAAACTAAAACAAAAACAACATACAATACACACGCGACAACAACAACAACAACAACAGCAACAAACAGCACACGTACAAGGCAAATGACTGAAAAGCAAAAGCTAGGCAATTCGAATTTCAATTTCAAGATTTACTAATTTACCCCTGCCTACTCCAACAGCCGCCTGCCTGCTGGACACCGAGTGCGCCTCCTCGGAGGTGTGCCAGGGCGGCCAGTGCTTTGATCCCTGCCTGCAGCCGCTGGCATGCGGCCAGAACGCCCAGTGCCAGATGCTGAGCCATGTGAAACAGTGCCATTGCCCGGAGGGCTTCACCGGCGACGCGACCAAGGAGTGTGTGCGCGTGCCGGTCGCCTGCGACGGCGACTGTGCGCCTGGCTACACCTGCCGCGACTCCATGTGCCTGCCCGTCTGTCACAGTGATCTGGAGTGCGCCTCCAACGAGAAGTGCCTGCGCGGCAACTGCATGCGTGAGTATTCATTTGCATTTCATCCTTCATTAATATCAGGCATTCGCTTCAGTCGCAATTAAAGCGATTGCATGACGTCTTTTGCTTGCAAATATTCATTTTGATTGCTATTATTTTGTGGATGTTAAATGTTATTCAAAACTGTTGGCATCTGTCCACAAGGAACGCCTAAGGGATATGACTTGCAAGTGGAGGTACTTAAGCTGAGATTGCTCGACTTGAAGAGATCTCGAACTCTGCAAATAGCTGGTACCATAGACCCCCCCTATTAGATATCACAGAGTTAACTCAGTCCATTTTGGGGTACACTTCGGGAACTCCTTATCGCATCAAATGTATTCATTTACAAAAGCAAAAAGCTCAGCTCTACTAAACAGACCCTTGATTCCAAATTTGGAGCAAAGAAGGGGTATACTAAATCTAAAAGCAATTAAATCTATCTAGTCATCATACGGAGATACCATGTAAATCTCAAGTCTCTTGTTCTCGGGAATGGAAGCCACGCTAAGAAACATCAATGAGCTGTCGAAGAATGCATATAATCTAATACTGTCTATTTTAACTTGAATTAAACATTCAAAATGGAAAATTTCCTCCAGCCTTTAAAGTATAAAAGTTGTCCGCATTCTAAGAGACAGACGCGCATCGACTTTACGGGGTCTAACATGTCTCCTTCAGTCCATTGTATGCATTTTCAAAAAAAATACCTTTGGATTGCCCAAATATCATCAAGGAAAATAAATTTATTTTAATTGAATTTTGTATCCAATAATTCCTAATCCCATAAATATCCATCTAATAATAATCATCTCCATGCAGTGACCTGCCGCGTTGACAACGACTGCTTCCTGGGCCATGTGTGCCTGCACAACAAATGCGTTTTTGGATGTCACGTGGATGATGATTGCAGCGCTTCCGAGTCGTGCCGCAACGATAAGTGCGTCAATCCCTGTCTGGAGAATCCCTGTGGACCCAATGCTGCCTGCTCGGTGTCCAATCATCGCGCCAGCTGCAGCTGCCTGGACAACATGGTGCCTAATCCCACGGCCCAAGTCGGCTGCGTCCGATCGCCGCCGCTGGAGTGCCACGAGAACCGCGACTGCAGCAATGGCTTGGCCTGCTTCGAGTCCGTCTGTCGTCCACTGTGTGCCGACGACGCCGGCTGCTTGACCAACGAGCGCTGCCAGCAGGGCGTCTGCAAGCCGCTCTGCCGCCACGACAACGAGTGTGCCAACGGAGAGGTGTGTCTGGGCCTCAACTGCGTCACGGGCTGCCGCTCCGACCAGGGCTGCCCCAGCCACTTGGCCTGCATTGGACAGCAGTGCGTGGATCCCTGCTCGGAGCCAACTGCCTGCGGCACCAATGCCCTCTGCCAGGCCGTCGATCATCGCAAGCAGTGCAGCTGCCCCGCGGGACTCAGCGGCAATGCTGACGTGGCCTGCAAGACTCCACGCATCGCCTGCGCTCGCAACGAGGACTGCGGCTCGAACCAGCTCTGCTATGCGGGCAGCTGCCAGGGCAAGTGCCGCAACGATCAGAACTGCCTGTCGGATGAGCGCTGCATGCGCGGCACCTGCCGCACCGTCTGCAACACGGACAGCGCCTGTGCCCAGGGCCAGATCTGCGAGAATCGCGTATGCCAAACGGGCTGTCGCAACGACCTCAGCTGCGCCAGCGACGAGGCCTGCATCAACAAGAAATGCCAGAATCCCTGCCAGACGCCCGGCCAGTGCGGCCAGTGCGCCGACTGCCTGGTGATCAATCACGGCGTGCAGTGCCAGTGTCCGGCCTCCTACATGGGCGACGGCCTCACGGGCTGCCAGCTGCCGCCGGTGCGCTGCCATCCGGGCTGCGAGTGCGACGAGAGCGGCGCCTACTGTGCCGCCAAGTGCAGCCGCTCCGAGGACTGCGCGTGCGGACAGCAGTGCGCGCGGGGCAAGTGCCGCAACAAGTGCGGACCCAAGCGCCAGTGTCCGCTGGGTCAGCTGTGCGAGCGCGGCGCCTGCATCGCGGGCTGCAAATCGAATGGAGACTGTGCTGCCGACCAGAGCTGCCAGAATGGCAAGTGCGTGGATCCCTGCGCCGATGATCGCGCCTGTGGCCGGAATGCCCTGTGCACGGTGTCGGAGCATCGCATGCTGTGCTACTGCCCCGACGGCTACGAGGGCGAGCCCAGCAAGGAGTGCGTCCAGTTCGAGTGCCGCGAGGACAGCGACTGTGAGACGAGCAAACGCTGCGATCACGGCAAATGCCGGAATCCGTGCCTCGAGTACGGCGCCTGCGGCACCAATGCGCAGTGCCGGGTCATCAATCGCAAGGCCCAGTGCTCCTGCCCGCCGGACTTCTTTGGCAATCCCGCCACCGCCTGCCAGCCCTTGGACGGCGGCTGCTCGAACAATCCCTGCGGCGTCAACTCCAAGTGCATCGAGCTGCCCGGCGGCTACGAATGCGCCTGCATGGATGGCTGCATGGGCGATGCCCACAAGGGTTGCCTGTGCGAAGGCAAACTGGTGAATGCCTGCCACGAGCAGCCGTGCGGCCTGAATGCCGCCTGCCGTGTGCTCAGCAACAATCAGGCCGAGTGCTACTGCCCCGAGGACTTCCCCAACGGCGATGCCTATGTGCAATGTGAGTGGCTAGCGAAGGCAAACGAGCCTCTAACGGATTCTAATTCTCCTTCCCCTCGACCCATTGCAGGTTATTTGACGCCACCCCAGGAGGACTGCCGCACGCTCGGCTGCGAGTCCGGCAGCTGTGTGCGCTCCGGCTACGACTATGTCTGCCAGCAGGGTAAGTGGGCCAAGTCTATGTCATTTGCAATACGTTTAGTAACTGCTAGAGTACAGCTAATGCTAATAATGTTAACCAGCGTTGCTGACAAAGTTCTCGTTGGCTTAAACACATACCAAACATACATATACATATATCTATATGCATATCAATATATTTTTATTTTATTGGAGTAATCAGTTAGCGTAATCAGTTGAGCGTTATTTATATCGTTTATTGTTGCCGTTCCTATTGACATTATTGACTACATATAACCGGAGTTCAGACAGTAACAAAAACAAACAAAAACAAAAACCAATATTGTTGTTATTATTATAATATGTATTTGGTTTGATTATCTAGCTATGAGTTGTTTATAAAACAAACAATTAAAAAACCAGCTAATTTCACTAATTTGACAGCCTTCGCAGCTGCCACAACAAAACTTAACTCCAAGTTTCAGTGTAGTGTGTGTTTTAATGAATATATCAATTGAATTTTAAATTTATTAATTACCATTTTTTAACAACCTATACACATGTTCCAAGTTACCAAATGTATACGTGATATTTGTTTCAATCAGATTCCCTCGCACAACACACACACACACACACACACACCCACACACACACGCAAACAAAGACACTCCCACACACACGAAAAAGTTCCTGAACGAATATAAAAACCAACAATTTATTTTAGTTTCAATGCACTAGCTTTATAGTTGAACTGAGCGATAGTTTATAAGAAGTGTTTCCATACGATACTCATTTATATATTATATTCTAATTTTGACATTCTACCCACAACTGCTATACAATCAGAATCGCATATGAGAGATCGTGGAATGTTGCTGTCGCTATCGCGGTTACCCAATCTGTGCCTAGTATTCATTAATGCAAACCCATTCCTCGCAATATAACTGCAGCGAAAAATCAAATTTAATATTAATACAAGTACATTTTGTTTAACCAAACGGAATATACTACTAAAAACGACATTTCAGTGCATTCTTGGACAACTTTCGTAATCGTCATTGAGAGTTGACAGCCCAATTTCATAAAGCTTTCAAGCTTGCGTTTATCATTTAGCATTCATTCAGCATTCATACAAATCGTCAGATAACTCTCTCGTACAATTGGCTTTCAATAACTCATTCTTAATTATTTATTTAATATTATTTTTTATTTACATATTTGTTTGAGTGTTGCATGTTGCAACACGAATCAGCTAGGCGGCATACATTATCTTATGTTTGTGAAACCGTTTAACGCACAGATCACTAGATAAGTTGGTTCACCTATAATAAATATCGTATAGTTTTAAATATCTAATGCCGCGATAGCGATACGTAGCTATTAAACACAGCTGAAATCGCGCACTGAAAGTGTGGAAAGTGTACAACAAACAACAACACTAAATGCAACGCTTATTGTTAAAACCGAAAAGCAAACGAAAGAAATTTATTTAAAAGACAACATATCCTCGAAACACATCCTTGCTACCCACGAAAAAGAAAAACGAAAAGTATCATCATCGATATCCATGCTCCCCCTGATCCCATCCTGTGACTCCTATGCTCTATCCGACCGACCCAATAAAAATAACCCAACGTTGTTATTCACTATTCTGCTCCCCTGCGTCTGTCGTTTCCCTTCGCTAAAACAACAAAATCAAACAACAATCAATTCAAAATCAAACAACGAATTTCATATAAATCTCTTGTTACATTTCTTAAATGAACAAAGTCTCAGATTGGGAACTGTGGACGGGACACTTCTCACACATGGTTCACATATGCTTAAAAAAATTTTTTTTTTTTATATTGTCAGTTCAAGTGTACTATAAGTACTCAAATATAACTCTCATTAAATCGTATGTATAGATAAATTACAACAACAACAACAACTACTACTACTACTTTTCAACGCATTCCTTACAAGCAAGTCTTAAAACACTTGAAATTAACCGAATAGAAAAGGCTGTTTATTTTTTTGTACAAAGCTCCTAATTACTCATAAATTTTAAGATCCTACGCTCTGAATAGCTTCTACTGCCTACCTAGCACACTTTAGCTCGTCTATTGGTTGAAAATCGCTTCCGTACAGATGAATTTCTTAAAAGAAAAAATAAAACAACAAGAATCCAAAATTAAACTAGCAGAAAAAAAAAAGAAAAAAACTGTAACTAAATTTAACTAACACTATAAATATATTTTGGTAAATTTGACTAGTCTTTAAGTTGTATATACACAAATTTGTATATGTGATTAATCACAAATGTACATATATGCGTATACAAATGTGCCGTGTCTTTGCGGCCGCCCAACTAACCCAAATGAAAAGTATAAAACCAACCTGTAAATATTTAAATACCAAAATTATCAATTGTGAATTATGAATAACAAAGCATAAAAACCCCTAAAAAAAAAAACCTTGCCAAGAAAAACAGTAAAGCTACTTACTTATCGTATTACCCTAACGTACTTTTCCAAATTGTACTTACCCGATTTTCTACTACTTTCCGCTAATATCGCTTTAGTCAAAAGTTGTACCCTTTCTATCTTTCCGTTTGATATTTATCATTCCTATGCCTGCGTTCAGTATGTCTACCTATCCTGCTCATTTCGTCTTCCTCTTCTATATATATCTTTCGTACCTTTATCATGCCTTATTCACTCACCCAATCAATGACCAATAACGTGTCTCTCGTGAGGGCAGAGCGCATGTGTTGGATGTCGTGTAATTTTTACCATTACTCAACAAAAATTAAAAAAAAAAAAAAATTAAAACTGCATTAGACCAAGGAGATCATTGCTAGAAAAAACAAAAAACAAAAACAAAATATTTTTAAAAAATTAAAATAAAACCATGTCCATAGAAAACAATTAGTTGGGCAATTKAAGCGCAAATCTCTCTTTCTCTACACCCGTATACACACACTCGTCTTATAATAATTGGTAAATCATTAAGGATTGTAACTATTGCTCACTCGAACTTATTATTATCTATAAGGCTGCTCGCTCACTCGCTCGCTCGCTCGTTTGCCCGCTGCTCGAAGACTCTTATCAAATTCATACCAATCGACCAACGAAAGCAATTAATCACCATACCAATCATAAGCAATCATAAATATATATTGACAATTTGCAAGCTTATAAGAAAGAAAGAAAAATATATGATTTAAAAGCGACCTGTTAATGTGAGATGTTCCCTTCACAGTTCTGCAATTTGATGTTGATGTTGACAAAAAATTCACCTAAAAATTAAATACAATTGTGTCTACTAAAACTCTATCTTAAAGATCACTAACTGCACCGATCTGATATTGTTTGTTTCTTTTCTTTTACAATTTCCTAACCCCTTTCTGGTCACGATTCGTCAAGTCTCCCGAAAAATATATGATCTACTAATGTAACAAATCCCGTGCACATTATCCAATTCCAAACTGAAAACCACAGCAATCCCACTGACACAACTTCTGAACACACCCCAAACAAACCCCCACCACATACACAAGTACTCAAAACAAAACCAAATTAAATCAAACCAAAGCCAAAGAATACCAATCGAAACAACCAACACTGAATTATACTGTTTATATATTGTCACGATTAAGTTTTTCTACTTTTGTTTTTAGAAAATTTTAGCTTGTAAGTTTATTGTCTGAGCCCCCCACATCTACCTCCCATCTTGTCTACGTACACCAAGTACCCCTTCCCCGTCATGTTTCAACCCAAACTTTCTTGCCTCATTTTCAAAATCCGAAAAGATCTCTAAATCTCTGAATATTTTCGATTATGCACGCCCATTTCTACTAAAAGTGTTCCAAAACTTCGCGATTAGGAGAAAGCAAGAAGAACAAACAACAGGGAACGAATAAATTTKATAGGGACCTATCTATCGTATATGCCACTGAATAGTTGAGTGCACCCATCGATTAACATAGTATAAACAACCAACAACCTGTCTATCTCTCTCTCTCTCTCTCGTTCTTCGCTGCCGCTGTAACGTTACGTTTTAGACACCGAACAATGCTACTCAGATACGGATTGTCCCAGTGAAAAATCATGCCTGCAAGGACACTGCACCGATCCTTGTACAATGCGTGGCGCGTGTGGCACAAATGCGCTGTGTCAGACTGTGCTGCATCGTCCGCGCTGCTCGTGTCCGAGCTGTCATATAGGTCGACCCGAGGTCGAATGCAAACCGGATCCGAAATGTGTGTCCGAAGACACAGACCCCAAGACAAAGGAGCAAATACCCTGCACAAACGATGCCGAATGCCCAGAAACATTGCAGTGCGGCCAATACGGCCAATGCACAGATCCATGCAACAATCCCCTGTTCATTTGTGAGAGCAACAAAAAGTGCGAGACTCGCCGCCACCAGCCGGTTTGCATATGCAAATCGGGCTTCATAGTCAACGAGTACGGTGAGTTGACCTGTGCGCCGGATAAGCGCGAATGCTATCGCGATGATGACTGTGCCTCGAACATGGCCTGCACGGATGGCAAGTGTCGCAACCCGTGCATCGTGCCGCTGGGCCGTGCCCCAATCTGTGCCGAGAATAAGTCGTGCGAGGTGCAAGACCACAAGCCCGTATGCATTTGCATGCGAGACTGCCAGCCATCGATATCGATATGTTTGCGTGATGCTGGCTGTCCAGCGGGCTTGGCGTGTCGTAACTATCAGTGCGTCGATCCGTGCAAGTTTGCCACGTGCGCATCCAACTCGCCATGCATTGTCGAGGATCATAAGCCGATATGTAAATTCTGCCCAACTGGATTTATAGCCGATGCCAAATATGGATGTCAAAAAGGTAAAGCACAAACGTACTCTCTCTCACAACTCTGTCACGTGAAAGTACCTTATGTCTCTGTCTCGTTTATCGTTATCTCTGTTTTCTGCCTCTCTCACACGCTCTCACCTTTTTGCTAGATCTGCCTTATTGTCTGTCCCCTCACCAGCCAAACACACAAACACACACAAAATATTACCCTGCGAAATATATTGACCGAAGCTACTATACATACATGGAATTCTCATGCCTCGTCAATTCATTTCGCAAAGTAATGTGTAAATGTATATAGAAGTGAGGAATTAACAACCTACTCTTGTCTTAAGCTTTTGCCTGACCATAAGAGGTTTAAATCAATATCCGAATATCAATTTCGAAAGCTAAATACAACGAACCCAATTATCGAATCAGGAATACTCTTAATGCCCGTGTAGCTTCAAACCAAAGCGCAATAACAAAATAAGAAAAACTGTTATCAAAATTATTGATGTTGATCCTATGTGATCAAAGCCCCCGAATTGGGGATGACACACAAATAACAGATACAATTACAAAGATACTCTTCTGAACATTCACACACGCTCATGCTCACAATGATATTAATAAAATCAATTAATCAAAATGCCTCTTGAAAACTATCAATATTTTAACCCTTGATTCTAAATAAACGGTAAATAGATGTACTACTAATGGTATAAACAAGAAAACAAAAACAAAATAGCAAAATGCAAAATGTAGCTAACTAATAGTAAACAACAATCGTTCCTAATTTGAAAATATCTAACCGTAAAGTAATTTGTACTAAATTTATGTACTGAAAGTTTTTGTCACAGCTTCGATTGTACACAGCAAATTTAGCTGAAGCCCTGGAACGTATGTCGTAACACCCCCAGGTACCCCTGTATATATAGTGCACTTTCCCCCTTTGCTGTAGCCATACACTTATTTATTTATATCAAATTAATATGTAAATATTTTAACGTATTGTATTTTTTAAATCTTATAATTTTATTTGAAATATGTACAAAAATACTCCACTTACAAAATTAAAAACAAAAATCAAGCAGCTAAGCCAGGTGGCAACTGTACCACAAACGAAGATTGCAGTGATGCACATCAATGCGGATCGTCTGGTCAATGTATCGATCCTTGCCGCACGAGTTGCGTGGGCGCAGTAAAATGTATAACAAAAGCACACCAAATTACGACTTGCATTTGCTCAACAAATTCGACAATGACTACGAACCCGGACTGTATTCCACACATTACTGAACCAGAACCAAACGAGACGACCACACCAGATGCAACAAGCATTAAGTACACAATTATGGCATTAGCGAACCAAACAGAGATGCGTACTCATTATACTGATATAGAAGCTGAGAGTGAGACTACCAGTTCATACGATAGCACAACAGAGTCCTTTAAAACCACAAAGCAGTTGAGCATTGATAGTACACCTAATATTATGCAGCAAAGTACGTTAGAGACACGTTCAAGAGATACCACAACCCCTTCAACCATCACAGAATATTCACCTCTTCCGAAAATAACGACCATCCGCCCTGAAACTATTTCTACCTCCCAACCTCAAACAACATTTAAGCCAGATATTACAAGAGCTTCTTCCTCGACGAAAAAACATATGACGACACCCAGTACAACCACAACTCCTTATTATACCTCTACGAATCCGACTGATTTAGGAGAATCTTTCATTTCAACAATTGTGTTAGAGACAACAACCAAACAATCTTCACAAATAACAACAACAACAGTCCCTCCTGCCACATCAAGTCTTCAACCTAAAGAATACCCCACAACAACAGGACAGATAACAAACACGACCCCGTATGATACTACCACACATCGGCAATCTTTTGATGCGACGATAACCACTGACTCTGGAGAATCTACCTCTCCATTTCGTACAACTGAATCAACAACCTATGAATCTCCAAAAACAATTCCAAGAGAACCGATAACAACAACGACCCCATCGAAACCCTCTTCTACTTTTACCACAACAACACACTCTGGAGAATCCAAACCTTCATTTACAACAACTGAATCGACAACCTATGAATATCCGAAAACAACTGAACAGATAACAACCACGACCCTATCGGAAACAACATCACATCGACCATCTTCTGTTACGAACATAACAACGGACTCTGGAGAATCTACTGCTCCATTTACTACAACTGAGTCAACATCCTATGAATCTACCAAAACAATTCCAATACAACGGATAACAACAACGACCCCATCGGGACCTTCTTCTGCCATTACTACAACTCTTTCCGAAGAATCCACCCCTTCATATACT